AACCTGCACGGACATGCTCCAGATACGACTCATCTCGGCTCTTTCCCAGAGACCTAATGCGGACTTGGCTGTGGAATCCTGCCCTTGAACAAAGGATGTATGGCTTGTGCAGGTCCTGAACCACTTAGCCGAGTGTGGCCGCCACTTCATGATCGCGCCCCTGTGAGCAAGTGTAAATGCCAACACTCAAAGTTTTCTGCTGTTGCGCACCGCCTTCTGTGCACACTGAAATACACGAATGTAGGATAACTCAGAACAAAATCATACGAAAAAAAGGTTGCAATCAGGCCCTAAATTTGCCCTAAATCCTCACTTCCCAAGGGCGGGGTTATTGTTCGGCCGCGCCACTCCATTCCCGGGAATCTCGCCCGGGTTGGTCCAGAGCATGTCCCGCAGGTCCTGGGTGGGCTGCGACTTTGCATCTCCCTCTTCGGCTAAACCCTCAACCCCTAAACCCCTAAACCCTAAACCCTGAACACTTAAACCCTAAACCCTAGACCCTAAACCCCTGAACCCTAAACCCTGGACCCTAAACCCTAAACCCGCAACCACGAAGCTGGACCCGAAGCTTCAAAGCGCGAAGCCGCGGGGCCGAGTCCTAAACTCTCAAAGCGCCAGAAGGCCTAATGTAGGGGCCTGAACAAGTAGAATAGGGCTTTGGGGGCCCATTATACTATAGTTATAAGACACACCCTAAACCCTAAACCCTAAACCTTAAACCCTAAACCCTAATATGGAACCACCAAAATTGTAAAGGTGACTATTTAGGCACCTTAGACCCCGAAGCCTCAAAAAGAGCCCGAATCCCAAAGCTCTCCCTGCTGAGCTTGGCCTTTTTGAGAAAGCTTCATGATCAAGAAGCAAAGGCCCGCGAACCCTTTGAGGAGCCCTGTTCTTTTTGAACGCTTATAAAAATGCAAGAAGCCCCTGGTAGAGCCCCTGCTGCCTTCAACATACTTTCAACCCATTATGGAACCCTTGGTGGTGCTTTCTGAAACCGCAGTCTCGGCTGCAGTGGTTCACGGCTTTAGGAGTTGGGGGATTACGGTTTAGAGGGTCCTTGGGAAAGGAAACTAGGGTATATAAGGCTTCTAGAAGGCTTCTATAACGGTAACTACCCACCTGATAAACTGTCCTAGACTAAAACCCTAAACCCTAAACCCTAAACCCCCAAACCCCCAAACCCCAAAACCCTAGGCTGCAGGGCTCCCTGCAGGCCCGGAATCTGCCAAGTGCTCGTCTTGCTGCACTGCAGGACTGCTGAACGACACTTCACTTTCTTCTTACTTGGAGGTTCATGGGTAGTTCTAAGTGGGGTTATAAGTAAGGTAGCTATACATGCCCGGTAATAAAGTTTCGTCGCATCCGCTTAGAAACACTAAGCGGAGGACGCGGAGTACAGCAGGTGAGGAATACCCTAGCCTGGCTAGCGGAGGAATTATCACACCGGAATGAAATTATACT